CACCGTTGTTTCTCCAACAAGCTTTGAAACAGTAGGATGAGGCGAGGGGGTTGTAATCTGCAACTACAGCGCTAATTGGCTGCAAGTTTTCCCTTTTTTTAAAATCATACTTTTTATTGTTTCTTTCAGAAATGTGACACAACAACCTAATGCAATACAAATAAAGTAAAAATGTGCAGCTTATAACAGGTAACAGATGATAAATAAAAGAAAAATATACAGAAGTGAGGGATGAAACTTAAATGAATAGAACAAAAAAATTAATAAATATTAAGAAAAAAGCAAAGAAATAAATAAAATAAAAGGATAATAAAACAAGGTGGGTTCGGGGTCCCCACTAGGGGTCGCCAAAGCTTCACAGGGGGTCGCGAGGCCTTCTTGATTTTAAGGCATGTAAGAAGTAAATAGAGAAAATACACACGGTCGGCCTTTAACTTAGAATTCAATTTACTTCTGTGAAGAAATGTAAATGTAAAATGTCTAAAAAACAAACAAAAAAGAAGCTTATTAAGTTTGTATGACTGTTAAAAATGATTAAAAAATACATAATACAGGCAAAGAATTGTATAAAAAGTTCCCTGAACAGGAAATAATAATAAAATCTGCTCAAAAATGATAAAATTTCATTCATATTGTAGGAAAACAGTTCAGGATTACTTCAGTTGAAGGAAGCTGCAGCCTCTTCATCAAAAAGTACAAAATGTGCATAAAAAGACATGTTTCCATGTTTATGTATGTCGAAATAACGTTATTAATCCATTAGGAACTTTATTTGTGTAAAAGGCCTCAGTTCAAACACGATAGACAACCAGAGGGACGACAAACAGAAGAGTAAACGATGTACGAGTGCCTTTCAAAAAGCCACCAGGAAGGTTAAACCTGCCTAAAAATGACCATTAATAAATGATAAATTGGGTCAAACTGCCTCAAACACACATAAAACCAACAGACTCATTCAATGCGATGAGAATTCTTCACAGTAAGTGAAACCGGCGAGCAGGCGGAGGGGTGGGGGCCGCCCGAGCTGCTCGCCGTTTATGGGTTTGTGATGGATTCCTTCTTCATCGTTGAGGCAATCTGTTTTAATGAAATGGATAACACTCATCTTCTGCCATTTTGGCACGCTGTACGGTGGCTGAGCTCCTCGCCGTGTCCACGCTGCCAGAGCCGCTGGCGGCGGGCCGGTGGTTGAAGGCGCTTAAATGTGACCTTGAAGGAAATTCCTTTGTATTAGTTGGACGGAAAAGACTTTGTGGGATATTCCAGGATTTTACAAAACCTTCTAAGTCTTAAAGATCGCAGTGTGGAAACATTCAGGAGGATTTAATGACAGAAATCTAATATAATATTAGATATAGTGTTTAATCACCTGAATATAAAGAATATTTGTGCTTTGTTGCCTTAAAATGAGCTGTTTTTATCTTTTAAATCACTTCTTAAAACATCTATTTATTGTTTAATATTCATATTATATTAGTATTATTGTTATTATCATATATTGTTTATGATATATATATATATATATATGTTTTATCTGTTAGTATTTATTTCTACCGCCACGTTAGAACGAACTCTGGCTCTAGATTTTTTTACGTCCAACAGTGAATGGAAGTTAATGTGTGCCCTTCAGAATAAAAGCCCAGACAGGATTTTACATGAATTTCTATTAGCAAAAAGCTTTTATTTTGTAATAGTTCCTTTTCTCAAACCTCACATTTACTGATACACATATTGATCATTACAGTTTGTCCTCCAGCCCAGAATATACTCGACTTTATTTATTGTCCATTTGGTCCCATTCATCTGGCAGGAAGTGACGTGTTTATTATCGTACGGGATGGCGGCGGCTGTGTTGTGCTGTTTTTATTGACGAGTTATCAGTTGAGAGTTAGCAGACGAGTTGAACCCTCAGTGGTTTGAAACAGGAAGTAATTAGAGACAAACACAGCAGGGGGAGACAGAGAGTGAGCGACGGGAGGGTGCGAGGTTTGATCTCAGGCCGGCAGGTTTTCCTTACATGCATATTGATGTGTTGTTATTCAAACTGGCATTTCTGCATAATGTAGCATCAGGGGGTGTGTGTGTGTGTGTGTGTGTGTGTGTGTGTGTGTGTGTGTGTGTGGGTTGATGTCATCCCGTCCCTCGAGGCGACATCAGTAGGGCTGTGTGGATTTTCCAACCTCTGGACTACTTTCTTGGTTGAGTGGACGCCCTCTCTACCACGAGCCTCCATAATACACACACACACACACACACACACACACACACACACACACACACACACACACACACACTTACAGTAAATGTTACTGTGGTCTGCAGGGAGATGGTGTGTCCATAAGTGTAAATAACAGCCTTTTTTGCCTTAAGGGACCTTTTTTTGTATCGTTGAGTGAACTGTATCAGTGACGTATATTTCATATTATGTACAATGAATCCAAACAGTTAACAGCAGCAAATTTGTGTAAAACAAATGATTTTGATGAATTTTGAGCAGATTATTTCCTGTTTAGGGAACTTTTTTATATGATTCTCTGTCTGTATTATGTATTTTTTAATCATTTTTAACAATAATACAAACTTAATCTGCTTCTTTTTTTGATAAATTCAGTGTTTTCTTCTCCCTGACTCTCGGCCGTTCTTCTATTAGACAATTTATTTTACATTTCTTCACAGAAATGAACAAAATGCTGTGATATAGGCCTACTGTGTGTATTTTTGAGTTTTCTAGCACCTCTTACAGTCAAGACGACCTCCCGATCCCCCAATACAGCTTTGGTGACCCCCTAATTTAATGCAGAGATTTGACTGAATTTAAAGCTGCAGTAGGTAATTTTCACTATATCCTAACAGCAGTTCATCAGAGAGATAATCTGTGAAACATCAGGTTCTTCTGGCTCCTTCTGGAGCTCCTAACGACGTTTACAGGAATCCATCAAGAAGATTTAGCTAATTATTGCGTTTTCATTCTCATGAAATCAGCCTCCTAAGTGTCAAATGTCCGACTAAAGCAACAATAAGCAAAAGGACATCTTTGGGTGGAAGGAGGCGTTCTTTGGAAATCACTTTTACGACATAAAAATAACGTAAAACTAAGGATTATGTTGAGTTTATAGAGGAATCTGATCATTTTCTTGACTCAACGATAAGTTGTTTGGTCCATAAAATGTCAGAAAATGGTGAAAAATTTACCCTTAAACGTCTAATATCCCAGGTGGTGATATACATACGTACTGTCCAGTATCCAGAAGATGTCCATATATCCGGATACATTTCCATAAACTTGCATAACTGCTGGATCTTTCCTGATATACACAGAAATATATTGACATTTGAGAAGCTAAAACTCAAAGAATTTGGACAAATGGCAACTCTTTTCATCCAAATAAATAAACTCTTTGTAGTAACATCTCCCCTAAACCAAACACCGTCTTTAAATGACAGGAAGGTAAAAGAAACTGTGTGATGTTTACAAGAAACCACCACACAACAATAACAACAACAACAGCACCACCATGTTTTACCGTACTTTCCCGGCACCTCCGTTGTACCTTAATTGTGTGAACAAGAGTCGTAGAAGCTCTGTCTGACTTGTTTATCTCACCGAAGCTTCAGGCGGATCAGAAAAAGACTCCCCTCCACAGTAAAGTACCTGCACTCTGCATGGAAACAAGGAGGTTTGTCAGTAATGCAGACGCCTTCTTGTTTGCTCCCCTCCACCTCCTTCCCTCCTCCATCTTTTTCCTTTAACAAGAGGAAACATCTTTTCCTTCAGTATCTCTCTCTCTCTGATTCTCCTCGCGCCCGGAAACTGGCAGAAGATGCTCATTATCGTTCCCCTTTTTCTGTTGTTGTGGGCAATTATAGCCGTACGGAGGATCTCGTAAGACGGGCAGAACCCTTTTTTTGGTTCTATAATGAGGAGATCCTTCTTAAGCAGACTAAGTTAAAAAGTTAAATCAAAAAGTCTGACCAATAAAACACAGGTTTGTGCTTGTTTTTGATGTCACGAAGCAGCGCGAGCGTGCTTTGTTAATCGGGTGTGTGGTGGTTTTATATCTACACAAAGACGAGGAGATGTTGGTAGTGTTTAAACGAGGGGAAGAGAAACAGCTTTTTTTTTTTTTTTTAGATGAAAGCATTGGAGGAAAACGGATGGTTTTGATCTCTGTTTACTGCGTTTAAAGCGGGTTTCTCTTGAAAGGATTTAAAGTGGTAAATCAGCGGGATAATGGTTTGTTATTTTGTCTTGTTGGTGCCAAAGCATTCATCGCTGGGGTGATTTTTTGTTGTCCCCGGGCCCATCAATTGTCATTTTTTCCTTCTTTATCATCCACGTGTTCATGTGCTTTTTTAGCGAAATATGATGGCTGCTCATGTTAAATAACTTCTGCTGTTTATCCCAGTAAAACTGGAAGATATCAGCTGGTGTGTGTTGTTAGTTTCTGGGCTTTGCGCCAAGATTTGTATCATATATTAAAAAAAAATGTGCTGTTGTTTTTGCTCCTTTCACAATGAAATTTATCACAGGTTGAGATGTGCTTAACAGGAGATAAGTCAACTGATTCACAGCCTGACGTCTTTGTTGGAGAAGTGTGCGGAGGCTTGATTTGAGAATTTGTTTAAATAGGAAGAAAAGATGAAGATTTAAAATGTTAAATCTTCAATAGAGCGAAGTGTATACTCGCCTGTCTTATAAAGGTGGTATGAGCCTAAAATAAAGTGATTTTTATGTGATTTACTGTCAATAAATGGATAAAAAATGATGCAGAAATATCGACATCATGATGGCGATTTGTAAAAAGTCTGAATTCACATTTTGTCCGGGCTGTGTGCACGACGACGAGCAAGCAACTCTTAAAATGCTTGTTTTCTGAATGGAGTTTGGTTGATCAGAGCTATGCTAACGTTGGCGTGAGAGTGAAGGCACTTTATTGACAGGAAGGTTATTCATCTTATTTGTTAATTGATTGTCATTGTTGTTGTTTTCTCCCCCACAGTCTGCTCCCAGTACTCCCGCGGTGTCTTCGCCATCTTCGGCCTGTACGACAAGCGCTCGGTCCACACGTTGACGTCCTTCTGCAGCGCCCTGCACATCTCCCTCATCACGCCGAGCTTCCCCACGGAGGGCGAGAGCCAGTTCACCCTGCAGCTCCGGCCGTCCATCCGGGGGGCGCTGCTGTCCCTCCTCGACCACTACGACTGGAACAAGTTCGTCTTCCTGTACGACACCGACAGAGGTTAGTGATGACGTTTCCTTTTGGACACTGATGTGCTTTTCGCATTGTTTTTTGTGTGTGTGTGTGTGTGTGTGTGTGTGTGTGTGTGTGTACGATACTTTATCTGTGTTTATAATCCAACTGACTAAAATGTAGTTAAGACCAGAATCTGACTTGTTGTATTATGGGGTTAGTGTAGTTTTACAGACTTTTATTTTGAAATTAGAAAACTGACTATTTATTTATAAATATGGGGAACAACATGAAAACTGGCAGTTTTTTTTTGTTTTAAAAATTCAAAAACGGAAAGTTTTCGGGTAATTTTCAAGTTTTTTTAAACAGAAAACTGGTTTTCTGATTTTTTATTTTCAAAACAAACAACAGAAAACAGTTTTTTTTATCTTTTCTTCAGCTTTTAGTTTTGGGCTTTTCCTGAATTTAGATACATACAAACACTATCACTTATAGGCAACCGATAAAATCTGTAGAAGTCTCATTTTTCAAGTTATGTTACAGCCCAATACAATAAAGCTTGCAGTAACTCTCAGCCGGCCTGTTTATATGGTGTTTAACCCCTCATGCCCCCCCCACCCCGACATGGCAAACACAGGTTGTGAATGGATCTGCCTTTAAAATAACGGCTGTCTTTTTTCGGTCCACAACATGTCTCGGGGCCGGCGTGCGATCAATAACGCAGAGCAGCTGCTGTTAGCAGGGTTGTGGATGGTTGCTGGACCTCCCTCGACTCCCCCCACCTGAGGACCGTGTATTTGTCTCATCCTTGTGTGTTTCTCGCTCTTTGGACTCTTTCTCTCTCTCTCTCGACACGTACACACTCGCTGAGTCAATACTCGCCGCCCTTATTCCTCCTCGTGTCACATTTCCATTACAATGACAGAATGGATATGGGCGACTGCTCGGATCTCCACATCTCGCTTTCATACATTTTCCAGAAGGTAGTCGGGGGGGGGTTTCTCTTTGTGGTGGTGGGACTGCGGTGAACGGGCAGATTGGCTGTACGGAGGCTGCAGCTCGTTCCCCCTCTCGCCTCGCCTCTTATCTCCAGGTCGTACACGCTTGGCTGGGTTAAAAAGCCTCTCGACAAAACCTGCTCGTATCTGATCAAACGCAGGACAACAAAGGTTCCCGCGACCGGTGAGGCCCGGCGCCGCTCTCCCTGCAGACCGCCAACCTGACCGTTCGGTTGTCACGACTGATGATCGGGAAACGAGCCGTAAAATAAAATAAAAAAACAACCATATTTTTATATATTTATAAATGGTAATCGAGAAACAGCAAAAGAAATGTCAGACACATTGTGAAGATGGTTGAAAGATGAAAGTGACACATCTTGCACTTGCCAGTGTTTAGCTAATTCTAGATGTGTCGATTTGGTTTTCTTTTCAATACAGACGAGTCTACCACATAGCATATCCAGAAAAAAACCTTTTTCACAGCAGCTATTTTGACATGAAGTAGCTGGGTAAACAAAGGTGTTACTAATGATACTAATTATTTAGTTTGAATGAAAAAGGACCTTTATTACTATTAATATAGCTGCTGTGAAAAAGGTCTTTGGACTCCCAAAACTTCTGCAGGAACTCTTAAAAAGTGGTGTCAGTGCTGATTATCCTGCAGTCTCTGACCTTGAAAAATACTGTAATTATCTGTAATTGAAATACAGTTTTTAGCTTTAATTTTACATTATCTATTTTTTTTTTTGCCTTTTTTAATGATATTTACATATGTAAAAACAATGACATTACCTATAAATACAGGCTGCTACAATACAAATAATCAGTGTGAAAACAAAATACTGAATTTTCTTTAACTTTTCTGTAACTCACTAAACTAAGTCAGTGTCATTTTACATTACTAGTAAAAGCTGATAAATCAAGTTTTTTTTTTTTTTACTTTAAAAACTGAGTTTGTGTATTTTCAGTGTTATCAGTATTATCAATATTTTTTGCATTACAGTGTTTAGAAACATGGTTTCTGTAGATAAAACTGATTTTAAGGTAGCAGACCTTTAACTTACCAATAAATCCCATTATAATAATTAACACGTGCCCCTAGTGGTACTTTTGAGTACTGCAGGAGTTACGTGAGATCGTTTTATTACTGTATATCTCCTAAAATAACTATACTATAATAAATTAAATAAAAGATGTACATGTAAGTTTGATATTAAAGCATATTTTATATACTATTGTCAACATTTTCAATGCAAATGTAAACTGTGAGCTGCTGAAAAGTCAGTATCAGGACGAATATGTTTTCTGCAACAAACTTTACATCAAAACTATTGAATCTTCTGTTAGAAGCTTTTAAAACTGTATTTATTAATCTCTTTTGTCTCTATTTCTGTTTAAATAATGATCACGGACACATTTTTAATGCATCTATGGAAACTTTTAAGTGAAAAATAAACAGAGAAAGGGAGACAATGGGGAGTGAAAACCACAGCAGTGTATTCAGACAGACTCTGCGGGGGGGGGGCTTTAGGATTAATTAAAAACTGCTGTATTTTGCTGAATCTGACTTCTTTACACTGACGGCTCTGCTGACGTCTCTGTCCGTGGTGCTGAAATCAGTCAGCAGCGACTGAAGCTGCTGTCATCCTAACAGTGGGGAAACGCTGGCTGTCAAAGAGTATGATACACCAGATACAGCAGATAGGAAAAACATGCACTGTGCTGTCACTAGCTACGGTTGAACGACATATCCCGATGACCTGGAGTATTAATCAGTGCTGCATTTAAGTAAGTGGTAGTGAAAAGTAGGTTTTTAAGTTATTTTATAACTCCTCCTGCTCCCTTCTTGGCCTTCATAATTTGTATTTCCTCTTTATTGATCCATTTGTGCCCGAATCTCCTTTGGTGGAAGTGATCGAGCACAAATCTGAAGACATTTTTCGAAATTGGTCAAACCGTTTGGCTGAAAACTGAGTTTTTGGGCACCTATTCTTTTCCTAAAATGGTAGAAAATAAGCAGAATTTATCCTGACTAAGAATAGTTTTTATTTATTTTATTTATATGGAATATATAGATGGTAGCCCGTCACATGTGTGCACCAAAAACAATAAAAATGCCTCTATTTTTACTGCTTATTCTGGGAATTTTCTACTATTTTAGAAAAGAAAACATCAGCCAAAGACTAAGTTAGTATGATAAAAAAATGTCTGTATCTCAGAAACTACAAGGAGCATAAACAAGCTAAATGTCAAAGATATCCACACATACGGAGGCTTGAAGCTGCAGCAGGTAACTTTTATAAAAATATCTTTCTCTGCTCTGATTGGTTGTTTTCATTCAGGGCCGGTTTATTCTTGCAAATGTCATTCGGGGCACTAGGAGGAGCCAGAGGTAGCTGATTTTTTCACACATTATCCGTCTCATGTTCTACTGTCAGGATATAGTGAAAGTTTCAACTAAGAGTTACCTACTGCAGCTTGAAATAAAACACAATTTTAGCGTTTTTCCTCATTTAAAAAAAATCCTGAGTGTGATTTTTTATGTTATCTAAACATTTCAAACTTGTACTGTTAGATACTTTCCCAAAGTAAGTCGCCACCACTTTTCCAGACTTTAGACCAACCAGAACAAATGTTATTTTACCTCATCATTACTAAAATAAAGTCTTTTTTGGGGGCGCAAATGGGTTAATGTCTTCCTCCTGCATTTCCTTTCCCTTTAGTGTCCCCTCGCTCGTTTATTTTTTGCTCACCGGCTTTAGCTGATCACTTGAAATCTGTTTTGCTGCTTGGCATAGCGTGAAAGCAAATTTCTGCACAAGCATTTTTTCCACAATCCTAAAAACCACGAAGGCGTCCTTTTTTTTCTTCCTGCAGTGCTGGAAAAACGCTGAATGGAGAATCACAGCTAATACTGTACGAGCTCAGGCAGCCTCCTTCCTTCAACGGTTTTCCTGTATTTCTTGAGGTTTTTTTATACTGCATACTGTCTACAAGTAGTAGCGTGAGCAAGACTGTAGTTTTTTTTTATCTGAGGAGGCACGCTTGCATGTTTTAAAACCTCAAATCTGTCACGAGGTCTCCAGTCTGTGCTGCAGGGTGTGAATGCAGCGGCTGTACATGTACACGTCTGTATGCGCATGCGAGTGCTTTTCAGGAGGCTTTTTGGGTGCAGGCTGCAGCACTTTTGGCCTGAGGATTTTTTTCACACACAGGGGCCAGGCATTCATCCAGTATTGACTATAATGTAGAATCAGCCCACGCATGGCTGAGCTCAGTCAATGAGCGCCAGTCTGATTCCCTGCATCAAAGCACCACAGATACTGTAGCACTCTCTCTCTGTTAGTGTGTGTGTGTGTGGTTATAGTGAGTGCTGTTCCTGTTAGGCTTCCTAGAAATACTCTTAAATACACACACACACACACACACAGAGGAAAAGATAATACATGGTAATACAGCTAGAATAAAAGAAGGATTCAGGAAAAGAGAGAAAGTGAGAGGAAGAAAAAGGTAAAGATAGGAGAAAGAGGAATAAAATGAGATGAAATGCAAAAACGAATCTAGGAAATATTCTGGAGAGGAGAGGAAGACAAGGAAGGAAAGGAGGGGAGAGGATATGAGAGGAAACTAGAGAGGAGGAGACAATAGAGGAGATGGAACAAGGATGAGGAAAGGAAAGAAAAAGATGTTGAAATGAGAAGAAACTGGAAAAGAGGACCCGAGGCGAAAGGAAAGGATTCAAGGGAAGAGGAGACAAGAGGAAGGGAGATGAAATAGAGCAGAAGAGAGGACAAGAAAGAAAAAGAAGGGGATAGGATATGAGAGGAAACTGGGGCGAAGGAGACAATAGAGGAGATGAAACAAAGAGAAAGGAAAGGATTCAAGGGCGGAAGAGACAAGAGGAAGGGGGATGAAATGGTGGAGAGGAAACAAGAGCAGAGGACAAGGAAGGAAAAGAGGTGAGAGGATATAAGAGGAAATTAGAGAAGATTAAACAAACAAAAGGAAATAAGAGGATAAGAAAACCAAAGGTGAGGAGAGGAAATGCAAGGAAAGGAAACAAGGAGAAAAGAAAGGAGAGTAGAAGATTCAAAGGGAAGAAGAGACAAGAGGAAGGAAGAGGAAACAAGATTAAAGTTAACAAACAAAAGGAAACGAGATGACAAGAAAACCAAATGAGTGGAAAGGAAACGAGGTGGGAAAAAGGGAGGGGAGGAAATGAAACTGAGGAAATGAGAGGAAACTAGAAAAAGATGAGAGGAAATGCCAGGAAACAAGGAGGGAAGCAAGAAGGAGATAGGAAAGAAGAGAAGCAGGAAGAAGGGAGATGAAGTGGAGTAAATGAGAGGAGAGGAAAAAAAACCTGAGGAGGGGAGAAAGTAAAGGAGGAGTGAGGAAGGAGCAGACAACCACTGACAGTCTGCATCACGCTGGAGGATAAAGACTCCCTCTCCTTCACCCGCTGCAGCTGCTTCCATCTTAGTGTCCGGCTCTCCTCCAATCAGCACAAACCACACTGCGGCGTCAGTCCACGTACACGCTCGCCGCCCTCGGCCGCACGTCTCTGACGCTGACACTGATTACGGCTGGCTGCTGCTCCACATACAGCCCCGAGGCTACACATTTATCAGCTGGTAATCAGCTGGCCCTCTTTTGCACGCTTTGCTTGACGCCACTATGCTTCCCACCCTGCCCGCCACCACCACCACCCCGCCCGTCCTCGGTCCGCATGGCGAGGAGATTGATGCATCCCGAAACAAGCAACTGGTGGGACGTGAACTCCTGATTCTGATTTGATATTTACCGTAGAAACCCAAGTAGAATCACTTTTATTCAACAACAGCATCAATAAAATAAGCTGCTATAAACTACTTTGTCCACTAGTGGTCGGTAAAGCTTCACGAGGGGGGGTGTCGGGAGGCCTTCTTGAGTTTAAGAAGTGTAATAAAAGTCAAATTTCCTTCATTTCTGTGAGGAAAACTACACAAAAAAGTACATATTGTTATTTTAAATATTAACTTTGAGGACCTGAACACAAGCTGTATTCAAGCAGCCTCGTCACATGTTTATTTAAACCCATTTTACCGTCTGTTTTTGTCTTTTAATCTATATTAATTTGCATTAATGTGAACAATCTGAGCTCCTGGATAGGGAATTAATAAAGTATCTCTATCTCGCTGCATCACATTTATCCTACTGCAGAAATACAAACAAAATATACCGTCTATATCAAACCATGAGGACGTGAGCTCACCAGTGTAATGACATAAGTTATGGTTTCACCCCAGAACACCAACAGCTCCAGTCAATACAGTCGATAGCGGTAAAGTAGCTGCAGCGGCCGCAGGGAGTCGTCTTCAGTCTGTGAGTCCGTCCTTTTGTATTAATGTTTATTTGTCAGGGTACAAAACATTTCCAGGCTTTTTGTATCAGATTAAGCTACCAGCCGCTATCTGCCTGCAGTCCCCGAGCAGGTAGACTCAAACGCCACAAAGTAAATGTGAACGTAAGGAAATAAATTGTGTTGTTTTTTTTTTTTTTTGCACCAGCTGCAACTGGAGACTTTGAATGTCTGTTTTGTTGTTTTTTTTCCTCCACAGAGATTCATTCAGAAATCTAACACACGCACACCACAGCTTGTTAAAACGGAGGAATAACAACACTAAAATAAATTGGTTAGAAAGATGGAGCTGATGGTTGGTGCAGACGTTTCCCCAACAGGATGAATTATAATGAAGCTGCTTTTTCATGTAGCGCCACCGTCAGGTCAAAAAACAGATATATTCCCATCAGCCTCGGCTGTATTAACCCTTTTCTGCTGGTGCCAGTTTGGAGCTAGTTGTTGTCTGTATGCTGTTGGTCAGATAACATTAACCAAGCAAGCATATTGTTAGCTACTACTACTTGATACATGAGAAATTAGTAGTATGCTTAGCTATGGGGAACATGCTTTAATTGTTTTAACGTCAACAAATAATAAACACAGATATTACCAATGATGCTCATTAAGGTCCTGTAGAATAGGACCTTAATTAGGGTCATTGGAGGTGAAAAAAAAAATGTGTTTATTAAAACTGGACATTTAATTGATTTATTATTTATTTTATGTTTTTTAATGACTATATATATATATATATTTACATGCTGCAGGTTATATATGTCACATTTCGTGCCACAAGTGGTTAAAAAGTAAAATCCTTTAGTACATTACAATGTTATTACACAATTTTACACGCGATACATTAATTGTGGCTTATTTACTTCTGAATTTGTCTGATTTTCTGTGTGTGTCAAACCAGAAATGTGACGTTATAAGCTGTAACAACAAAAAAAGGGTTCTTAGAGGGTTCCCCGTCTCTCTCTCTTCAGGACTGACGGAGGCCGGGTCTGAGAGATGGCGATACATGCATGTGGGAGCATGTGCTGCCCCGTTTGTGTGTGTCCGCCCTCGACCAGCAGTCCCTCCTGGGCGCCGACATCCCTCTAATGGGGAGCAAAAGAAAAGGGGGGGGGAGCTGGGGAAGGGGATGGAGGAGGTGGAGAGGGAGCCGGGTTGCCAGAGCACAGGTTAATCCACTAATTGGAAGCAAAGGGAGACGGGTTGCCAGATTGTGATGGCCACCAGGAGGGGCCGTTTAAGGGGGACATCTGTTCCTGCTGGAGAACAGCCGCCCTCACAGCTCCCTAGTTTCCTCTCTGACACTCATCTTCTTTATACACAAACCTGACAGCGAGGGTCGACCCTCCCCCCCCCCCCCAATGTCTCCCCCCCTCCAGAGTCTGGTGTTTTATCCCCCGACTGGACCAAAAGCCAGCATCCGGTTGGAGGGAGATAAAAGGAGTTAGAGGAGTTTGCGTGTGCATGGTTTTTTCTTTTAGATGAGGAACAGGGTTGTTTTGGCCAAGGATGATGTTGTGTCAACTAAAAGCCAGTTTGTGATTCAAACCAGCAATTATGAGCAATGTGTTTTATAACTACACTGGACTCAATGTGTCATATTTCAGCCAGGAAGTGTTTGAGCCTCGGTTTCATCAGTAAACAAACTCAAGAGCTGTAAAAAGCATCCTGGGAGCATTTTAATGTTATTGTGACAATACAGAAAACGTCCATTCAAAACACTACTTTCTGTTCTTTACTTGTTTGTTAGCTTGTGGCCTTGATATCTTTCTTGATACCTTCTTTTTTAAGATTTCTTGCGATCGATAATTGATCCTCAACTGTTAACTAGTCAATTAGCTGGCTGAGTTGTTTCTAGCCAGCTGAGCTCATCTTTTCTTTCACAACAAATAAAACACATAAATAAAAACACCATTACGCTAATATAATCCAATAAATAAAACTCAGATAAACTGTATTTTCTTCCCCCGACTTTAATGTGTCCTGTCTTCTGTGTCTGGCTGCGTCAGGTTACGCCATCCTGCAGGCCATCATGGAGAAGGCCGGACAGAACAACTGGCAGGTCAGCGCCATCTGCGTTGAAAACTTCAACGACGCCAGTTACCGACGACTCCTGGAGGACCTGGACCGGAGACAGGAGAAGAAGTTTGTGATCGACCTCGAGGCGGAGAGACTGCAGAACATGCTGGAACAGGTGACGCTACCATGACACTAAGCGTCCTTTTTCTCTTCATTTGAATCCACCAAATGCTACTACAGTATATATTAGGAACTACTCATGTAATGATGTTTATTTCTACTGTAAATCTAAAGTATCTAGTGTAAACAAAAGCCACACACAGTAGTGTTTATGGATCTTTAAGATACATAAAAACAGAACTAAACCGGACATAAAGTAGGCCATTAAAGCACCATGAAACAGGACCCACCAGATAATTCGGGACTACATGATGGATCCCTCTTCAGAAACTGTTTGATTTTAGGTTTAAAATGTCAGGATGTCAGTTTGAGTACCTGTGGCCATCAGTGCTTAAAATAAGTTTGTACCTTGATCAGGGAACGTGGTAGCAACATAGCAAACATGAAGTCCAACGGGGGCAAGAAACATAAGCAGTCCAACAATCAGAACTGGTTAGCCAATGTTTTTGGATAGTCCATCTTCTCAGGCTTCAAGCTATGTGCTACACAGTGGTTCGAACCAATCATAGACCCTTTCCAACTACAGGGAACCGGTCCAAGCACCTAGTTTTGAACCGTTTGGAGCAAAAATAAATGTGTTCGGAACCAAAGAAACAGCAGGTTTTCTTTGGGTTGCTGTGCAATTTGAAACGCCCTCTGTCCGATTACAATGGTTCCACTCAAAACTGGTGGAAACCCGCGATACCGATTTGCTAGGCTGTACCAAGGTTTCAAGAATCTTGAATGGAACCAGTTCAAGAACCAGTTATATCTGAACTGGAGAATATTTCTCTCTTCTCCGACTGGTTTTGACGAGAGTTTGACTTTGTTATACGGTTCATCGATCTGATTGGTTGAAGTTTGGCCGTGATAGACGGACGTTTCCCTTTTCCAAACAGAGTCCCAGATGTTTCTGTGTATGTTGTAAACATCCATTACAGTTTCCCATCAATGTATTTAAAGAAAAGTGGATACTTGACTCCAAAATGGTGCCAATTCACCCATTAATTCTAACTATTTCTCCCAGGAAATACACCCAGAAACCTGGTTTGCACATGCTCATTAGTGTCTTTGCCTGAACCCCAACTATTACCCATAAATATTACATTTTTCATGGTCTAAAAATTCACAATACAAAGAGAAATACTTGACCTTCTTTGCCGTTTGTGGTGTCCTGACACATTTTACTCTCTTTTATAATGGCGGTCTATGGGGGAAAATGCTTTTTGGGCCACGGGGGACTTTTGTTGGGCGCTGTCTGGGAACAAACAGGCGACAAGGCTGACCTCTCATGCCACATCCAGCCCTCTTATTACATCAGTGCAGTTTAGAGTCAGATTTTCTGGTTCAGTTTTGACCCACCGTACTCGCTGTAATTGTGCATGAGGGGATTATTACCGACATTTCGGGGACGCACACATTTGTTTTTACTGTTGGCCTATTTACACCCCGTCTGATCGTCTCTCTGCTTGTGTCTGTGTTTGGGGTTTTTTTTGCCTCTGCTGAACGATTACATAAAACTAAAGCAGAATTAGTTTTTAAACAATGTTTTTCAGTGCAGGAAAACAGTTTAATAATGGAGAAAATACTTGTTCTTTATATGAGAAAGAAGATACTGTACTAAGGCAGTTTTGTGTACCTTATAATCTCTTTATTTTAGCACCAGTAGAACAACAAAATCACCTTAATTAACCCTAACCCTAACCCTAACCCATCGAGATGCAACAATTAGTCAACTAATCGATTAATCCAGGGGTTCCCACAACTTTTCCATTCCAAGATGTCTTTAAAAACCCACTGAGAAACTAACTAGAATATTATCTACAATAGGATTTTTGTGTTTTAATGAATTCAATTTTATAATAATGTGTTAATAATTCAAATTTGTCAAATTTTTTATTATTATTTTTACCATTTTACCTCACTTTCTTCTAAATTTGGGAGGGAGTTGCAAAGGTGGTGCCATCCCCCACTTTAAAAAACACTGGATTAGTCGATTAACAGATAAATAATTAACAATGAATTTGATAATTAATTAATCTTTACACTTACTTTTCACACAAAATGGCCGAAAAAATGCTGTTCCCAGCCTCTTAAATATGAGACATCCTGCTTTTCTCTGTGTTACATCATATTAAACTGAATATCTTTGGCTGACAAGACATTTTTCACAAAATCTGACATTTTACAGACCAAACTATTGATTAATTAATCTAGAAAATAATCTGCAGATGAATTGATAATAAGAATAATCATTACTTGCTGCACTGTTTTTCCACACCTGCTCTGTTTTTTGGGGGTATGTTTGTGCTAATTAGAAAGTTCTGAACTTGGAAACAGTCTGTTCTGATCTCCGGTGGTGTCATTTGGCATAAACACACTCAGAATATGCTGCGTGCCTTCTTCATCTTCCTCCTCCTCATCCTCCTCCTCCTCCTCATCCCTCTATCTTTCCCTGGGGCAACTGGTGTCTCTGCCATTGTTCAATTATTCAGGAAATCTCCACTCCTGACATCTGTCACATTTCTAACTATTTACCTTGCAGACGCGACGGACTCGCGGCCACATTCAGAGCTCGCCAAAAACATAAACATCTATGTTAGCCTGAATTCACGCCAACTGTCATCCTGTTCATATTTACATCTCGCCAAATTCTACTGATCCAGCGAAAGGATTTGAATACATAATTGGGCCTCATTAGCAGCTTATTACCAACACGGTCAGTACATATGAAGGCTTATAAGCCGCCAGATGTTTACTTTGAATGTCAGAGTGTGAAATCTCTGAATGCAAACCTGTTTCATTTACAGATGGGGATGCTGGCAGCTAATTTGCAAGTAGTACAAATTGTACTGAGCAGCTGCAAAATGAGACTCTATTGGTTTAAAGTTAAAAGTCCAAGAGGTTGTCTAAATGTCACCAAAAGGCCGCCCCCCCTCCCCTTTAAGACATGCATTTAATGTCGGTCTCGTGTCTGAATGCGTTGCTTTAACTTTAAAGTCACGACGATCGGATCTGTAACAGTTCAAAAACGGTGAATGTCATCGCATTACCGCAAAGGCCGCAGCAGCACAAGGTTAAATACAGTATGCGTGTTTGGTTCTGCCTTTCAAGAGAGCGCTGTAATAAATGTACCACTTAATTATAAGCTCCCCCTGCTTAATGACACATGAAACACTGTCACTGCGTTCCTGTGGCGCCAACTGCAAATGGAGGACAGGATTTTATACATTGGAGGCACCGTCACAAACTCTCAAAATGCCAATATATTTTGACTATTTTCACCACTTTACGTCGCCTTCAGACAGCTGTTATATCCATCTATGCTCTCTTCAGAGCCACCAGGCTGACTTTGGTGTTTTAACAGTTTAGTTTGGATCATCAAAGTCAAACAATAACACAAAGTAACCGATCGATGCAGCAGTAGACCGGCAAAATGAAAATGGGTTCTATGGAAAGCCACGAGTCTCCCCTTTACAGACACGCCCACTTTATGCTAATCACATGCAGTTTTAGGCAGAAAACATGCGATATAAATGTGTTTCACCTTATGTATTTGAATATTTCTGCATACTGGGGTCAGTGTTGGGATTGCACCCCTGCATAAGTCAGCGCCCCACTTGTCACAACAACAACAACAACAACAACAACAACAATAACAATGCTGTTTATGATCATGTTTGATGGTTGAAAACTTAAATCATGTAGTTTAAGGTCAGTAAACTCCTCATGTTTGTAACACCAGAAAACCTTTTATTTGGTTTGTGTGACACATTTTCAAATTGACTTCTTTTGAGGTATTTCTCTTGTAAATATTCTTATAAAATGTGTTTTTATTTTATTTTCAGACTTCTCCATTGGAATGACTTTAAACTGATATGTTGTGTGCACAAAAATGACTTATTTCCAACCTCTCAGGGCCGCGTGGATCTCTCCTCCGGCTCCACGTTGTGATTCAGATTGATATAACGGATGTATTTTTTCTATCCTAATCTTGCACATTGCAGCTGATGACCACCTGACGCTCAGGTCTTGACAGCGGTGAAGCTGAACCGACATCGATGTCGGCTTTTCTAAGAGATCCAAAGCAATTTTTTTTTTTTTTTTTCTCTTTCAGATTAATTCACGCCCTTATTAACTGGATGTCCGGTGGGATTTTCCCAGCAGATGTCAGCTTTCAAAATCAGTTTTTATCACCAAGATGCAGCTCTGTGCTTGTCCCTGTGTGTGTGTGTGTGTGTGTGTGTGTGTGTGTGTGTGTGTGTGTGTGTGTGTGTGTGGAGAAGCATTGTCATGTCTTTGAACGCGTGAAGTGTTTACTTCCTCTGTGAGATACTGACACGACCGCCTGTTCATTTGTTTAGACGTCCGATCTTCGCCGGATTAGGCCTGATGGTCCCACCGTGTCGAAGACGCACACTCTCGCCTGTCACATGCATCATTTAATATAATTAACGTCTGTTATGCTGTAATCCAGTCAGATTAACGTTGAGCTGTGCTCCGCCTCCTCGCAGATTGTCAGCGTCGGGAAACATGTCAAAGGCTACCATTACATCATGGCCAACCTGGTGAGGGGAAAATCACTTCTGATGGTCTTCTGTGTTTGTTAGTTGTCGTCTTTACGTCGTCTCTAATATCTGTTTGCTGCCACCAACCTTGTTGTTTCAGTCCATGTGTTTAAACAGTGTTGTGATACTGATGTGTAGAGTGTGTCCCAGTACCTGTAAAAAGGGGCTGGTAATAGGGGCTGATAGCTATAGCACAGATTTTCTATCATCGACTCAACTGACTAAAGGACATATGTTATGGTTATATTCAACAATAACAGTAGAGTGATAAACTGCACAATGAACCCAAATAGTGAACACAATAACAGCAGGGAGTGTCTATGAATACTTTTTATGCAATTTTCTCTCATATATACTGTTTTCTTCTCATTTTTATATGAACTTTTTGGTTGTTTGAAGTTTTAATGAAGGATGTTTATCAGAGAGTGAAGGTTTTGTGCCTTTTTCCTGTTTATAGCTTAATTAATAATGTAAATAATATAAAAATTAACTATTTAATTTAGTTTTCTTTAAGTGAAAATGCTCGATGCATTATATTATATTATTATTATTATTATTATTATTATATTTAAACAGAATAAGGACTGTTGGATCTTGTCCTCTGTCTCTATTGCAATCACGTTACAAAGGGGTTTCTTCAGGGCCAGTAAAGGACAGCAGGAACATTTACAGCAGCAGGTTAGATACGGCCATGTGAGCGTCGCATTAAGGTGGACTGAAAGAAAGATTTGCACATATACTTTAGGAGCTACTCAGTAAAAATACTGCGGTTACAGTGTCAGGGGCTTGAATTCATAACCATGGAAACTACTGAGGTCTGACAGAGACTGCTGTAATGTTCAGCTCTCTCTGACAGCCTTCAAGGAACATTTAGTGATGATGGATCAGTGCTAAAGAGCATTTAAACCCATTTCTCACCTGCTTTTATCCCCCTAATTGATTAAAGAGGAATCAAATCAAATAGTTCAGTGCTACAGTAGCCAGCTGTGAGCGTCTCGGCTAACGATTTAATTAAATTATATGAATTATTTTGGTTTTATTGCTGCTTGTTTCCTTCCATGACCGCCCTCTTTTTTCTCCCTGAAGGGTTTTAAGGACATCAACCTGGAGCGCTTCATGCACGGCGGAGCCAACGTCACGGGCTTTCAGCTGGTCGACTTCAGCAACCCCATGGTCATCAAGCTGATGCAGCGCTGGAACAAGCTGGATCAGAGGGAGTACCCGGGCTCGGACGCCCCGCCCAAGGTATGTAATAGATATACCTACGCTCTCTGGATGGCCGCCATATTGGAGAGGTCATGATAAACTAGTTAGCAGTACTGAAAGATGCAGACTTCACTACAAAATCAGCTGCAACTCGTTTAATTGTGAACCGATTTTCATGAAATTTGGTTTATTATAAGCATGAGGCATTTAACTTACCTGATCTAATCAGCTCTTTGCAATAAAACCAGTCAAGAGTCACCACTGGATAGATGTATAAACATGAATAGGCCCAAATACAGAATGAAAACAATGAATACATGTGTGTTAGTGTGTGTAGGATGGGCTACAAATTACTGTCATACTGGAAAATTACCAGAAAAACGGTGCTGGGAAAATAATTCACCTGTTAAATTATATGTTGTCCTGTAGAAAAATTTTCACATTTCACAAAAACAAGCAACCAGGCGCCTTTATAGCAACATAATATGAACAGAAATAGATCCACCCTTTAGGAACTAAATTAATTCCTCCAAGTAACCAGTATCAGTTTTGTTTTCTTGCCTCTTAAAAAGGGGAGTTTTTCCTTGCTGCTGTCGCCAAGTGCTGCTCATTAGTGATGGTAATATTGGGCCTTTTCAGTGAGCCAAATCATTTGGCTCAGCTCACCAAAGAAGAGCCAGCGCTTTCGGCTCCCAAACGGCTCTTCATTTTACCACTTATATCTTTTATAATTCAGCCAGATTTAGTGCTGTTTTGACTTATGATTTATATGTGTACACATATATCACTTAAATTATTAAATACATCCTTTTTTACTGAAGTTACATTTTCTAATATCAATAAATTGCTGTAGCCAACTGTTTTTATTCCATTTACAGACCCTTGTAACTCTCTGAAACCACCCAATGAATGCACTAACTTGCTTGTAGAACCACTCTGCTACACAAAGCAGATAGAAACACCTATAAAAACTAACACCCCTAACACAACAAGTAAAGTACTGAAATTAAATACAGGACTCAAGTAAATGTGCTTTGTTAATGCCAACCACTGACATCTGGACAAATAAAACCAACTGCATGCATGGAGCACCTGTAGCGGAGATCGTCATATCATTCTGCCTTGTATTACTTTACAGAAACATTTTAAAAAAGGCTCGTGGACGGGAGCCGACTCCCTTTGTTCACTTAAGAGAGCCTCTGCTTCACTTAAGTTTTTCCTTGCTGCCGTCGCCAAGTGCTTGCTCATGGTTGGAGCTGTCGGGTCTCTACAGTCAAGCTCTATATGAAATGTGTCCTGAGTGTACTGGTCAAGACAGACGGCCCACCTAGAGCCAGGGTCTGTGCGAGGTTTCTGCCTCTTAAAAGGACGTTTTTCCTTGCCATCGTCACCAAGTGCTTGCTCATGGTTGGAGCTGTTGGGTCTCTGTCTCTTCGGTCTAGACCTGCTCTATCTGAAAAGTGTCCTGAGATAACTTCTGTTATGAATTGGCGCTATACAAATAAAATTTAATTGAATAACTTCTGTTATGATGTTATACAAATAAAATTATAATAAATGTATCCATATGGTCCAAAACAAAAAACAACTTTTAAATATCGTTAAATTATTATTTGAAAGGAGCTGATTTCACTGACAGATATACAATCTAATAACAATACAAGTGTTTCTTTTGGCTTTACCGCCCTTTAAAAAACTGACATCAAAGACCAATTGGCCTTAAAATAAAGATGAATTTTCCCGACCCGGACTGTGGTGACATGAACTGACACCTGCAGGCTGAGAAATGTAATCTAAAGCTGATGACATGTGATTGAAGAACAGTTGGCAGTCGTGTAAATTACGTGCTATTTGTAGTTTTTGCAGCAATGTCAGGAAAAGAAAAAAAAAAAACCATAGAAAGGTAAAATGAGTATGAATATATAACAGCATGTTTTCCCACACTGAGGCGGCTCTCTGCCTTCGTCCAACGCCGTCACACACAGCGATGTGACTGACTGACCCACTTACGTTCTTTTCAGGCACACAGATTGCAAAAAAAAATGGCAGTGGGGCAAGAAGGCATCACGCCATGGTGGTCAGAAAAACCTCAGCATTACCCCCCTCCAGCTAAAATCTGTATCCAGCAAAGATTTATATATATATATATATTTTTTTTTTAAAGCAGTGGAGTGGAAATGGTGTGAGTTAAGCAGTGTGTACTAGTATGTGTGTGTGTATGTGTGATGGATCGGGGTGGTTTAAATTAAAAGTTTACACCACAGGGCGATATCACGTGATATTATATGTGTGCTTGTGTGTGTTTATCCCCCTCTCCATTTCTTGATAAATTGCTCTCTCTCTCTCTCTCTCTCTCTCTCTCTCTCTCTCTCTCTCTCTCTCTCTCTCCTGGAAATCCACTCAGACTAAATTACTCTGCTCCCCCATTAAGTTTGTCCACAGCCTGACTCACAGTCTAATATATTAACACCACTGGTGAGTTCTTGGGCCTTCTTCTTCCTCTCCTGGTGGTGTGTTTACTCACTCTGTGTTAAGGTTAATGAGGGATTCCCTGTATGTATGGCAGGGAGGAGTCTGGTGATTTTTGCATTTATCTTCTTGTTATATTGTTTCTGCCCACGTTGTGTTCAGATCTCAGTGTGCAAATTATAGATAGATGGAGCTGGTGGTCGCTAGGGGGTCGTGTGGCCTTCTTGATTGTAAGATAACATAAAAAATATACACAGTAGGCTGATATCTGTGAAGAAAACTAGCTCCCAGTGAACAGCAGGGTCAGACCTGGAGTGAACGCAGCGTCTAATGCCGACAGAGGACAGTTTGACGACAGGAAATAAAGTACTGAGATGTTTTTGGCTAATGAATCTTCACTCTTCACTCAGTTAAAGATTGATTGACGGGTGAATGTCGTGATATTATTGGTTGAAATCAGTTAGTTCATGCTGACGTAACCATGCGTCACATTTTGCTTTGAAATGATTGGATTTTGATATAAAAATACAAAGAAATTACGTTTTTTTGTGACGTTTTTTGGTATAAATTGTTAAATATGGGAACAATGTAACTGAGGAAGTGATCTTAAAGGATTAAAATGACATTTTCCATTCCACCTGGACTCAAGAAACGGAAATTGGCGAATAATTGAGTGATTATCTTACTGACAGCCTTCATATTTTTGCACATATTCCACATTTACAGTATGTATTAAGGTGTTAGCAGCCGACTCCGGGTTGGAAATCAAACACTTTTCCCCTCGTCTGTGTTATAAAATCGCTGGCAGCTTTGAGCCAAGAAGCTGCTCCTGACTGTTAGCGAGTTTATCCCTCACCTCTATTGTTTGTGTGTGTGTGTGCATATATAGATATATATATGTGTGTGTGTGTGTTACGCTCGGGGAAGAGTACCAGGGGGATGGAAGTGCAGCAGTCTCCGCAGAGAGCCATAATGTCACAGTGAGCAGTGGGCTAATGAATAGGAGTCACCCCCGGCCGGAGGCGAAGTTAATGAACTCCTGCTAGCCGGGATAATTAATGCCAGACTGCTACCCGGCTGGACGAAAAAACACTCGCCTTTTCCCCTCTTTCTCCCTCCCTCACTCTCCATCTTGCTGCCTTTTCCTCATTCACTCATTTAGTTTTCTGCTGGCGCCAGAGGTGAGTTCTGGTGAAATGTACGACTCGGGACGGGAGGGAGCGATTCCTCGTAGATGCAAATAATCAGAGGCAACGTGGAGTCTTCAGGTCAAAGATAGATTACAGGGAGGAGGGGAGATTTGGGAGATTTATACTGTAAAAGGTGGGAGGAGAGAGGTTGGGGGGATATGCTCTTCCTTTCTCCTTCTCCTTTCCATTTCCAGAAAATAATGAGGAGAGTAAAACTGCTTGCAGCCAGGCCGTTACGACGTACCGCTCAGCCCCTGCAGAAACCCAGCGGGCTCTCAGAGGCAGATTGTTTTAAAGGAAATATTGCAGGAACGTTTTGCTTCGTCCGGCTAAATCAACGTTTAATTGGTCTAAAAAAAACAAAACAGACAGAACCGCAGGGATGGCCTCCAGGTTAGACCGTTATTCACAAAACGGTCCGTTCGTATTGAGGTTAAGTTGGCTTGTTTTTCTTTGCTGAGGAACCCAACTGTGAACCCACAAACAGCAAACATCTTTATTACAGTTTCTTACTGTATTTTAAAATGACAGCATATTACTGTATTTCCAATCAGCCCCCGAGGGAAATCTGATCACCTGATCAATCTTCTTTATCTTTATCCTGAGATTCTACTTGAATTTGATGTTTTCCTTGTTTTAAATTGATGATTTTATAACTTTTATGATTCAATAACTTTACTTGTAACCCTTTAAAAGCGCTCTATAAATAAAGATTATTATTATTAATACTAGAAATAAAATTACAGTTCATTACTGTATTCTTGTACATGTAAAACAAACAGTTTAGTCAGTAAATTACTGCATATTTACAGATTGTTTTAGCCTGTTTTTAAAGCATGTTACTGCAATAATAATAATAAGAAATAAGAAATTCAAAGGGATAATATTCCGAATGCAGTTCCTTTTCAAATATTTATTGAAATAGTTTTATTTCACATACAACACAAGCAAAACTAGACCTGAATAAACTAAACCTGTTTGGTTCTAAAGCACCAGTGTGTATAGACACTAATTAAACTAAACTAATACAGTAAGAAACTGTAAACATTAATTACAGTAAATGTACAGTAACAGCTCTTACAGTGTATATCTGACCTGTCGTCTCACAGTACACCTCCGCTCTGACATACGACGGCGTGATGGTGATGGCGGAGGCTTTCAGGAACCTCCGCAGGCAGAAGGTCGATATTTCCAGACGGGGGAACGCCGGCGACTGTCTCGCCAACCCCGCCGCACCTTGGAACCAGGGCATCGACATGGAACGCACCCTCAAACAGGTGAGGAAGAGGTCGGGGGGTTCGGTGTGAGTACAGAGGTTTTGTTTTGATCTGTCGATCACACCATCCTCGTCTGGATCCACAACTCTTTCAGGGTTCCCACGCATCCTGGAAAACCTGGAAATCCAGTTTTCCAGTCATGGAAACACCTGGAAATGTATTAAAATGACCAAATATCCTGGAAATGAATCTATGTCGTCCTGAAACATTGTACTTTACAATTTTACCCCCCTCACAAGATTATGTGAACCTGGTTGCGTATTTAGTCTAAAACTCGACTGTTGGAAGGATAATCTGCTGTAGACAGTCACGTCTACATGCATGAAGCCTGTTATTAATGATCAAATTATACTTTCTATATCTTCTTTTAATTGGCTAATAGGTGAGAAGATTAATTTTCTGATTTGTTATTTAAAGGCTGAATTAATAATAATAATTACAGTTTAAAAGTAAAAACTGTGGTCAATCTGCATCAGAAAACAGCCGAGTGTGCAAACAAAGCCAAGCTACTATTGTGAACAAGTACTGTCTGTTGTACTGTCAAGAAACAACCTGGAAAATGTCCTGGAAAAGTCCTGGAAAATTATTCCTTAAAGAGAGTGTGGAACCCCATCTTTGTTTGGTGCTATCGCGGCCAACTGGGAACCCGAATTGTTGGTTTATGACAAACTTCTCTGGTAGAAAACAAACCTAAATTACCTTCAACCTTTTCTGTGGAGTAAATAAATTAACCTATTTCCAGCTGTAATCTCATTGTGTGTGTTTGTATGTGTTTCTCCTCTCTCTGTGTGTGTGTGTGTGTGTGTAGGTCCGGTTGCAGGGATTAACAGGTAATGTCCAGTTTGACCACTATGGCCGCAGGGTCAACTACACTATGGACGTGTTTGAACTGAAGAATAATGGACCGAGACGGGTAAAACATCACACATCACACGCTTTCTTGCTTTCATTTGTGTTCATGGATGAATATTTCTGTCTGAGTCGAGTCCCTAATGTCGTATATTTTAGTATTTAAGTGAGAATGTGAAGTTTTTTTCTGTTTTCATTGAGTAGAAAAAAGGTTTTCTGCTTCTGCTACGAGAGGATGGATGTTGAGCAAACTCAGAGAAAATAGGGGGAAAGAGAGCGAGAGCACTTGTGAGAGTGATGGCAGGAGGATGAAATGAAATAGAGAGCAATCAAGGTAGAGGGGAGGAGTGGAGGCGGCGGCGGCGGGAGGGAGGGAGAGAGGGAGGGAGTCAGGAAGCAGAGAGGAGTTCCCATCAATCAAAACCTGCTTGGGCCTGTCTTCCTGGAGCACAGCGAGGGTCCTGTCAGGACACGGTGTGTGTGTGTGTGTGTGTGTGTGTGTGCTTACATTTTCATCTGATGCCCCAGCACACAGGAGGTATCAGCCAATCACAGTTCTTCGTTCCCCTCTGGCTTCCCACCAGCGGCGTCCAACCAGCAGCCAGCTGGCGAGCTCAGCGTCTGCACTCTCTCTCTCTCTCTCTCTCTCTCTGTGACTTATAGCTGCTTATGGTTGCTCGTCAAAGCTCTCGTCTGTTATGAGATCAATACGTCACAGTATTAAAATAACGTAACGGCCAATCAGCGCGATGCTAATGTTGCGATCACAACACATCGTATCTGTATCTGGAGGACGCTGACTGAACATTTTGAAAGAAAGAAGCAGCTAAACATCGATCTTGAAACTGGAATCTGAAGCAATAATTCAATATAGAAGTGATGAGAGTTTGATTCATGTACCGGTAATAATATTTTATTGACTAAATTCATGAAAAAGCTGCAAATTCATGTTTTCAAAATGTTTTTTTGGCTCCGACAGAGCTATGTTCAGAGCTTTCAGCAGCATCTCCTGGTCTTCATCGGCGTGTTAAACTGAGGAAGACTATTTTAAAAAACTATGATTGTGCCCACTCAGGGTAAAAATATCAGAGATTTTGAGAATTAAGTTGTTATTTGAGGAAGAAAAAGGCAAAACGTTGGGAGAAAATACTAATTTTAAACTTTATACTTTACTACCCTTGAGTATTTTATCATTTTTGTTATTGATTATACTCTAACTAACTAACTTAGGACACAATTTCTCATAATATTTGAAATCACAACTTTATTCTTGTAATTTTCTTTCTTATTTGTATTTTTTTTCACTTAATTCTCATAAAGAAGGTCTAATATTACAACTTCAGTCTTGACCTTAAAAACATTATGCTATAACTTCATTTACTAGCTTTCACCCACATCCCCTGGTCTTCATCAACAAATGGAGCTCACTCAGCTGATATCATGTGACAGACATTCCTCACTTCGACCCTCGAGTTTACTGAAGACCATTAGATGCATTTGAAAGCTCAGGAAAAGCTGGAGAAAGTCACAATAATTTTCTGATATTGTTTCTCAGCAGCCCGACTTCCACACAACAAAAACAAGTTAAAACAAGTAAACTCTTCCAATTAACGTAATTTTCTTGCACTTTGTCCATATTCAGGAATAGGATTGCTGATCAGTCTGGTTGTAAACAACATATTTTGTCATTATTGAGACAAAAGAGAACTTTTTATCATCACAAAAAGTTTAATTATAGTTTCTACTTGTAATGTTAGTGAGTAATGATTTAAAATGACTAAAAATGTACAAGATATTATAATAAAAGATATAAACAGTGGTCTAGTGGTGCCTGAAGAAGTCGGTATACTCTTAATTTATGCCCAAATATTATAGCCCGTCCAGGAAAAGATGAACTGCCTCCTCTTGCATATTTAGAGGTCCAAGATTTGGTGGATATTATTAATACATCGTTGACTTGACTTTAGGGAGTAAGAATCCTAAAGAGCAGATTTTGCCATGAATACTGGTCCACAGACGGGTAAGACAACTACAACAACTATGTGATGAATTTGACTTCCTAAGAAACGAAATTCAGTTCGCAGAACATCACTAAATGAACGGATTTTAGAAAAATAATGAATTAATTAAAAACACTAATAAAAGAAAACAATAATAATTAAAAGTTAATACAAGATATGAAACAATTCAGGTAAAACAAGAGCAAACAGAGGTTGAATAATGTATTTAAATTCACTAACAGGTACAAGAGTGTTGATTTTTAGGATGCTTTGTGAAGAATTCCAGGTAGTTGGAGCATTAAAAGTAAAATCTTCCAAGCTCGGTTCAAACTGGAGGAACTTGCAACAAAAGCTAGTCTTTACACCGTGTTTGATAAACCCATTTCCTCCAATTATTGTCATTATTAATGAGTTTTCTGAAAGCATTCCCCACCGTTGGACTGTTTCACAAGTAGCTAAAACCAAGCGTCGTATATAAAGCTTTGCATTTGAGCCAGAAAAGACAAAAAGACGTGTCATTCCTCCTTGTTGTTTCGGTCACATTTAATTCTGACAAGGCTTGTACGCACAAACACAATACACCAGCTCATATTTTGTTTTCCCTGCAGATCGGCTACTGGAACGACGCAGACAAACTGGTCCTGATCCAGGACTCTCCACTGCTTCCAAATGACACTTCTGGCATTGAGAACCGGACTGTTGTAGTCACTACCATCATGGTAAGAGACCGGCATGTGTTCGCCAAACACACACACACACACACTCACATATTCTTAGACTCTATTATCTTGTGCTGCTCACATTGAACATAATACGTGAGGGATATGCAGAGTCAGGAGGTTCAGTGGCTACACGTCATACCTCCGACATCAAAAAACCTGCATTCACAGCAACCCCCCCCCGGTTATCCTGACACCACCTTGTATTCCTGCGTAATTCTTCCCCGTTTGATGCTGTGTTTTATCATTTGTGCAGACATAATGTAGAAAATGTGCAGAATCAACACTTAGAGTTTGACTTTATCCACAAAAAAAACACAATAACATCATCAGTAGTAAAAAAGTAAGAGCTTCTCTGCCAATTTTGCACAGACACTCAACATCCTCATTGGGAGAAATCCATCATAAAAGAGGGTAGAGATGCCAATTATCCACCATTAGTGGCCTCGGTAGACCAGAAAACAGGAGTGGCAACAACATTTGTGGTGTGACAAAATAATCTCCAAAAAAGTCCACTTATGTAGCAAAAAAAGGCACATTTCCATCACACATAACTCCTTGAAAACTGATTAGATCTTAGGAATTATACTAAAAATATAATGTGGACTGGTAAAGTTTGCAAGGATTCATATTCCCATGCAGATTTCACCTTGTGTACAGTTCAGGGACCACACACATGCTTTGTTACACCAGTGCAGCATTGTCAGTGAAGAGACTCTTGAAGGAAGGGGCTTTTTCTTTTTTATTACTCCAATAAACCATCATAGAACTCCAGAATCAACTACCGTCACTTAGATTTCCTTTTATTGCACCAATAAACATCTCAAAAAGCAGTCAAACAAGCTGCTGCCACTGAGCTTTTTGTTCTTATTGCACAGATAAAAAAAAAAAAAACGAGTTAACAGAAGACTCCCATACAGCTACAGAAATCAATCAAAGCATTTTTTTCTTTACACATGATTGAAATGAATGGCCTTTGCATGGCATGTGAATCTCTGGCTGTAGTGGTGACTCTCGGCTGGAGTAAAAAAAAACAACCAGATGTTGAGCGTACATGTGGCAGGCTGAGTGGAAAGGAGGTTGGGAATGGAGAGTCACAGCTCAGCACAATCCTCCCTCTTTTCAGCCCCTGATGAGGAACCCCATTTTAAGAAACTGAGCCCCCAGTTGGACGCAAGCAGGATATGAAAAAGTCCTTAATGGCAGAGTGATGGACACAACAACCCGAGCCAAAATGAAGCCCTAAAGACTCTGGGCGAGAGGAGAGACACGGCAACCCTATGTTAATGGACACCCCCCCTCCCCCCTCCCTTCCTGTTCAGAAAACTGAACAAGAAATGGAGCCACTCAGAGCCGTAATGGAGCCCCTCGAGAGGAAAATGAAATGCAAATGGAGGGGAAAAAGACAGTCTCTTTTAAGGACGGTGCCTGTTGGATGGACACCCATTGAGGCCTAAAACAAATGGCACAGTGTCTGTTTACTAACATAAACAAGCTCCCACTGCACCTGTTGTGTGTGTGTGTGTGTGTGTGTGTGTGTGTGTGTTAGATTCATACATTGTCACGCTTGGTGTGTTTGTGTGGCCAATCACAGCTTGAATCCCATCCTGTTTTTTTTAGGATTTTGTAATTTTTCTTTCTGCAAAGGACCCTGAGCTGTAACGTGAGGCGGTGCCAGAGTGTGAATATACATTTATGTCTAACTGAATTCCTGTTTGCTCTAAATCTGTCACTTTTTCTCCGACTACCTGCTCCGCCATACAGTACATTACACACTCTGAGGGCTTCCTGTAAGCTTTAAAACAGCTTAGAAAGACTAATGGTCCCATAATCATCCCAGTTCATATCCATCACGCTTTTATGCAGCATGATATTATAGTTAAAGTTGTGACTGCTGCCTTTCACTCCCGCTTTTAATGTTCGTGAGAGTAATGTTTGTTTAGCATAAACTTAATGAAGTGTCTCAGTGTTATATTACATCACAGCTGCCTCCGTGTCTTACAGACTTGTTATATAGGAGTGGGTTTTAGTTGCCCTCTGGTTTCAGTGTCTCGTTGCTGTATGCACAATTATGCCTGATATTATGACTGATTTAAAAGGCAAATAGTTGCTCTTTTCAACTGCAAAAACATACCTGGAGCTTCTCTTAAGTTGAACTTTAAAGAGGGACTCCACACTTGGGCTGTAAACTAAATTATATGACTGTAATGTGATGAAACACATCAATGCTAATTTATGAAAAATTTGCATTTCGATGGTGTTACGACCCAGCTCATAAAAGGAAAAGGAAGCAACGAAAAAACAAGAAGGTCAGAATTCTTACAAACAAACATAGGAACTAGAAAAGCAAAATGGGCTGGTTGGTGCTGCTCAAATCAAAGAAGTAAATATAACCAAAAGAGGACTGTAACTATAATGAACTGAGGGTTAAATGGGGGCTCGTCCGGGTTAAAAAATGGCTAAACACGCCATCTACTGTTCCTTGCAAGGCCAATGCTGACATAGAGTCGACCAATTGGGACTACTTTATGTTGTGATATAGATATAAAAAAGAGCTTCCTTCTAATTAGATGAGGGTTTATGCTAGTTTTTGCTAAACCTCTACTTAGTATCTTTCTATTCTGGCGCAGTGGTTCGGACTTGTGCTTTAGACGGCTGTAGAAACAACAGACTGCAATCTTTATCTTGATGCCACACACTGACATTCCCCCCCAAGACACAAGCTGTGAATGTGCTTCTAGTGACTTTCTAGTGGTTTTGAGGCCACGCCCGCTAAAGTGTTTTTTATATTTGCTGAGAGGGAGTGAGCTAGTAGAATAAGTGTAGTTAAAACTTTAAAGAACCTTGTGAGGCTCTTGTACTAGAACAACAACAAAATAAGAAGTGACAATGATATTATTATTAACTTTCTTTCATGGTAACATGAGTTCAGACAGAGAATCCAGGGCACAGCCAGGGCTGGGACATTGGTTTCCCAGAATGGTGAAAGGCCTGTACTGACACTTACAGAGCCGATCCGACTGAACCAGCTTGGTCCTGCCAAATTTGAGACCCAAACTCTAGACCCAAGGCTATATTTTTGTCTTTTTGTCTTCAGAGACAAAGTTATGTGCTTGCTTTGGAAAGGTTTTTTCACAAACAAAGAATAACTAATTTGAAAACAGCAATAGACCAACGAACAGTTGTCACAATAGCTACTGCTTATTGTTAGCATTTTTAAAATGTGGCATGGTTAGCAGCAGGTTAGCTATATAATTATGTTTTTGACTGGTACTAATGTTAAGACTGTGACCCTGCTGATGATTTTCTTTCGTCTGTAGGATTTAGGGACATAAAGCTATTATTTGATTTTGGCTTAAGGCTTTAACTGACCTCTGTGACGTCTCAGGCCATAGCTGTCTGGAGGTTGGTGCATTAACAGCGAAGCTCCCGTAGACAAGGACAATCCTCTTATTGGCAATGTGAGGCTGAAAGCTTTGATAAAGTGTGTCTTGGCTCTGAACTCCCCCATTGCACTTTAATTCTGGCACACTCACATCAATCTGCCAGAGGGGCAAGAAGTACGGACAGGGTCCGGCTATAATTATGGTTTTGTTGTAGGTCTTAAAGGGATTTTTGTGGAAGGACGACGTGTTTGGAGTTTGTGTATAGAGACTGTTTTGATATCCCAAATTCTTCCTACTATATGTAGCATTGGGCCTCATGTAAGAACCTAAAGAAAAGATTTGTTCTTAAAGCAGAAACAAGCAACTCTCATTTTGTGCTGATTCTGGTTCCCCCTGTGGACAAAAGCTGTTGTGTTACCACCACCTTGTTTCATTAATTTCAAGGTGAATCTGACCGATGAACGTTTATGCTGTTAATTTAATTATTTAAATAAAATTACAGTTTATATAATGGACACAGCTTCTTAAACCTGCATGGTTGTTTGTCGGAGCCAGCGGAGGTCACGTAAAGCGAGTTGAGCTGCTCTCATTGGCTGCATAGTTTCGACTTGTCACAGGAAACAGTTAAAATATGTTTCTGAAAGGATTTTAGGAGAGAAATAGTCAACGCAGTAACAGAATCTGGATTCATATCTGATCATCACTGCCTAGTTTGATAGTTTGATCTGAGTTTGGTGCGTTGAGCTGGACGGACTCACTGAGAATGAACCTGTCAATCACAAGGTAGCCCCGCCCTAAAGCATACCCTGCTTTATGGTCTATTTTACTCTAAATGGGACCATCAGTTACTAAATGAACATCATGCTGTATGGAAGAAGACTTGAAACTAGAGACTGAGACCATAAACTCATTAGGAAACTGTTTACTGAGCTCATAGATCAAGTGAGAAGTGGGCTCATTTCTCCATAAGAATGCATGATATCTGTGTGTTATTGCAGCCAATGGAGCTGCCCCTGCAGGTTTAAGACACTCCTGTGTTGGCTTCACTTCACAGATTAAGAAGCTCTGTTCATAATATAAACTGTCAATGGGTGGTATAACCTTGGTAGACACTGGCTCCTTTGCCTGTCATACAACCAAAAAAATACAACAAAAAGGAGAGTGTTAAATCCAGGTAGAATAAGTGATATGAATATGTTCTTACATGAGGCCCACTGAATGTTAGCAAAAAAGGATATTACATAAAAAAAGAGACAAAACCTCAAATTGAGTGATTTACACATCAGCTTACAGTTTCAGCTTTACTTGTATTCATTTTTTATCGCAGCAAGCAGAAAGTGCTGCAAGAGCGCAGGTCGTCCAGGAGGTCGAGGCTCAGCTTGAACAATACCCGGCATTCATTAAAGCACCAAGGTGATCTGAAACCCTTGTCAAGGCCGTGACTGCAGCAACCAGCCGAGTGCACAAAAAAAGGGACATTTGCGAAATACTCTTTCTTATTTGTGTTTTCAATGAGCATTAAATCAAATAAAAATGTTATTAGTGCCTCAAGTGGCTCCTGATGACTGAGAGCCAGGAATGAGTCGTTTACTGAGAAGCATTTTCTGTGTTTGCTTCATAAAATGTTTTTATTTTTGCAGTGAAGTTATTGAACAGTACGAACCATCATTTTGCTGATTATTACTGAACAGAACAAAACACTCGCAGGTTTTAGTCAGTCTAACAATCCTGACGTGTGTGTGTTTTGTGTGCTGTACGTATGGATTTGTGGCACCAAGCAGACCTTGTAGTGTGTGTGTGTGTGTGTGTGTGTGTGTGTGTGTGTGTGTGTGTGTGTGTGTGTGTGCTTTTAATGGCATGTTAATTAGTCTCATTAGGCCCGTGAGTGAAGCAGTGTGTTTGGGATTATTGACCAGTCTGTCAGCCATGCCGCCCTCTGAAGCACTGCTCTATTCTCATGCCAGAAACACTGACTGCATCCTTTATCTCTGCCACTCCCTGTGCTCCTGTGGCTGCCAGCGCTGTCATTCGCCCTGCTATCATCAATCATATGGATTAGGGATGTTCCCCCCACCCCTCCCACCCTCAAATATCTGCAAAGAACAACTTGTAAATTGAGCATTCATCATTAAAATGGTCGAGATTCAACAAAAAGCTTATCGTGAATTCAATTTTTCAGCAATGACTTAGAGAATTGTCTGCAGAAGAAAATATGACTTTCCTTGAAATGTTGTTAAAATTATATTTAAAGCCATCATGTGTAGATGTTTTTATCCTGATGGTCTGTGTTTTGTTATTTTTGCATTTGTTTTCTGACTGATTTTCCCCCGTATTGGATCTATGGTGTCCGTCAGCCACTGGCGGTGCTGCAGTCATAACAAATCACACACGTTTTTATAAGTAAAAAGCCATAAATATAAAAAATTATGATTAAAAACTACTATGTAGTAGGAATGAGCAAGTACACCATTACCTGTATCAGAGTTCAACCAACTATCCTGTACCCAGAAATGGGCGTGGCTCACATCAGAAAATGGGCGGGGCTAACCCAAAATTTATTTAAGACTGAATTGGATATGGGTTGATTAGAAGTTGCTGCATTTATAAGAAAAATATTTACAGAATTTAGCTTAAGAGCAATATTTTTGATCACAAAAGAGTGATTAGGTTGCTATACTGGTATAGTATACTACTCGGCTCAACCCGACTATGTTGACAGGTAATTACAGAATGTAAATACTACATCAATAAATAATATCAAGAACCAGGCTGACGTTCACCTGCAAACCCTCGGGGGGTCCCAAAGGGTCTGCAGATTTACTGTGTAGCAATTTAAATAAATTAATCACATGCAAATTTGTTTATTAATGTGTAGCCCTAAAGCAGAATATAAACTGAAACAATAAGGGTCTTATAGGTCGTCATCTGTTTTATAGAAGTGTCAAAATGTCATATTCCTTAATACATCTTACATTAAATCCAATTAGCACAAACTATCTCACACACAGCGAACACAAACGAAAGGGATTGTGCTCCAGAACAAGATGTTTGCTGGTTGCTTTCTGAGGCCATAAGCAAAATATAATGAAGCTGCCACGTGTGTGCCCGGGTACATAGCTTAATATTGCCCCCACAGCAGGTTAATCTGACCCGTTTTGCTTTTAAGCATCGTGATTGCATTACGGTATGTTTTATTACGATCAGAGTCTTGCAGCATCTACAATGACGTAAAAAAAAAACCTACAGAATGATGGATACCTGATAGCTGACATGAAGCTGCTAAACTGTGCTATCATTATGTCGTGTATTAACATTTGTCTTGCGCCGCGGGCTCAGCCGAGCATTTGCATTCTCTCCCCGCCGAGGAGTCTTTGGTTACCTTGCTTCGGCCCGGGGCAATGTCAAGCGTAAAAAAAAAAAAAAAAAAACACATCTCGGGAATAAATTGCTCCCGCTCTCAATATGCAATAGGCTGCCTTCCATGACAAAAGCAATTTGTTTTGGAAATATGAGCGCGGAAACCAAGCGAGGTTTACATTTAGATCACTTTTTCTTAGCAACAGAGAATCTAATGATGTATAAACCCTACTGCCGGTTACAGCGTAGACTGATGCAGCTTCCCCCCTCCCCCCCGATTACTTTAAGTGTTCAAGTCGAGTCGGGCTTGTTTTAGGTATTAAGTCATTCAGTCTGACTGCAGCTCATTTCTCACTTCCCTTCAGCTTTATGTCTGCCTCCGTTTCTGCTTAGTCATACTTTCCTCCCTTCTCTTTTAGTCTCCGTGTATCATGCTTCCACATTAATACTTTGATGATTCCAGTCTGTGCCACTGTGTATGTACAGGCTGAGGCTGTCATTATGATTACACATGCATCCCCCCCTTTTTTCTGTTGTACACTAAATTATCTCCCAGCAGTTGGGACGTCAGTTTAAAGCCATTTCATTTAAAGCTGCACTGTGCAACTCTTTTTCTTTTTTTTTATTCAGACATCAAACTCCCGGTTTAATTGTCAGTACAGAAAAGAGAGAAAATACAGCATGTGTACATTAAAATATAAGTTGAGGAGGTTAACTACGACTCCCAAGATGCATCTGGGTGAGCTTAAAATTCTGTTATGGTGCCACCAACGACGGCAGAAGCTAAAGATTAAGTCTTAATAGCACCTGAGACATAAAGATACAGTCTTTGATAACAATTGATATATATTCCATTTAATGGATTATATATGTAATGTTAATTGTTAGGTGATAAGTGTTGCCAACTTGACGACTTTCTTGTTATTTTTAGACCCTTTTAACAACTTTATTTCTAATTTAGCAACTTAATCAGATCATCAGGGAAAATAAATATATTCAAATATATTTAGTAATTTATTCCCATTTATTATCACAGTCTGTGGGTCTTCTGCCAGCAGCATAGGGGTCTCTACCTCTCCTCTTGGGGTAGGTCAGGTGTTCATAGCTCGAACGTTCAGATAAAGTGATGCGAGTTACTGAAACAAAATATATTCATTGTGTGCAATGAAAGCAAGAATTGGGAGAATTTGGTACAGTTGTGGGGCAAAAAAGTTAATTTCGAGCAGCTTACGTATATATAGTATCGCTGACTATATGTGAGCTGATCAGGTGGATTATATTTGGATGGAAAAAAGCTTGCGCCTTTAATTTAAGTAACCAGCTGCGTCATTTCAGTGAGTGATGATGCCAAAATGAGTATTTTTGAATGAAATCTCGCCTGGTGCAGCTTTTAGATATTCCTTTTTTTATTGCTTTATGACAAATATTTCATGTTAAGCACTTACAAAAATATAATTTCTGTACTGAAAGTGACATTACCATGTGGAGTTTTTCAGGTAAACCAACAAATTAGATCAACCAAACATATCAAAATGCATTTCCTGTCTTATAAAAACATCTTTTACATCCATGTTTTGCTAGCTAAGCAATCTTCTTATTCTTCTGCTGCATTTCCACGTTTCAGAAAGGGCCAATAAACATTGTAAATCAGTGAAACAGCATGAAACCATCAGCTAGAACGTACATCGCTTCACCCGCATGCTCGTGCATGAGATACAAACAAAACATTGCTCCACAGCGCCTCCTAGTGGTGTGGAAACTCCACGGGGCGCCCTTTAACGTGGTTAATGAGCTACAGTTTCCCCCCTTTTGTCATTCTGTTGTCTGTTGGTGTGTCAATGTGCGAGCCCTCATGGTCCATGTGTCTGTCTGTCTGACGGTCTGGTTCACTGGTTATGGTCCCTTGTGTAGGAGGGTCCCTATGTGATGCTTAAGAAGAACTGGGAGATGTTTGAGGGCAACGACCAGTACGAGGGCTACTGCGTGGACCTGGCCTCGGAGATCGCCAAACACATCGGCATCAAGTACAAAATCTCCATCGTTCCCGACGGGAAGTACGGCGCCAGGGACCCGGAGACGAAGATCTGGAACGGCATGGTCGGGGAGCTGGTGTACGGGGTAAGAACTTTTTTTTAATGTCTTCACTCTTTGGATGACAGGAAGTGGTTCGTCTCTCCGTGGCCCCCCTCCCCCCTCCCCTCCACTCCCGAAGCACCATTTTGGACAGAAAATGAGCTTTTCATCGCAGCTGACTCATGTCTCATTCAAACTTTAATTCTATGCTGTCAGTAAGATTCATGATGATAATTAGAGACAATACTGTGTCTTCTTCTAATGTTAGTCCTTACAATGAATTTGGCACGGCGGCTCAGCTTGTGACAGAAAAATTGGTTTTCGGCTTTTCTTCGAGGCTGAAAATGGCCAGAAATTAGTCATCAAAGTCAACTCAAGTCAAACCGTAATCAGAGAGTCCATAAAAGCTACAAGATATATTAAATACAGCAATTTGTTAGTCATTTCTTATCCTGATGTCCTAAGTGATAATCACAATAAAGTCGTAAAAATGTGGGCTTGTTTAAATGCCATTATCCAATTCCAAAATGGAAACAAATCACTATGAATTCTGAAATAAAAGCTGGTATTAAAGTTAATAAATAAATAAAGGCTGGTCTCTGACAAAGGCCAGGTAGAAGCACATGACCTATATACAACAATAATAACTCACATTGTAATTTAAAGGTCCAGTGTGAAACATTTAGCAGGATCTATTGTCAGAAATTGAATATAATATTCATTAGTATGTTTTAATTAGTATATAATCACCTAAATATAAGAATTATTGTGGGTTTTTTACTTCAGAATTAGATGTTTTTATCTACAGAAGGAGAGCGGGTCCTCTTCTAGTGGCAGAGTCAGCCAAATTGAACCATCTACCTACAGTAGCCCTGAAAGGACAAACCAAACACTGGCTCTTGTCTCTTTTGCAAGTTTCACAGCCACCGTAGTTTCTCCTACATGCTTGGAAGGGGGAAGCGAGGGCGTTGCAACCAGCAACTTTAAGCTTAATATTCATAGCACTAATTTCATCAGTACAGAAGGTAACACTTAATTTGGATAATCCACCCTTTGATAGTTTATAGATAGCTTATAGATGCTTTCTCTGTAGATGTTAACAGATTATCTATAAAATATTTGTAATATTTCATGAATCTACAAATAAATAAAACTCAAATTAAATTCAAAAGGGATTCATTGGCCTGAGAGACGTTTACATGGCCAGAGCAAGTGTAATATATATATATATATACAGATTAGTAAGAAAAAAAGTATGATGACCAAGTTTTCATTCGTTAATCAATTCAATTCAATTCAATTCAATTCAAACTCCAGTTGTGAAGGAGAAACTATGATAGACGTGAAACGCCCCTATCTACAGCCAGTGTTTGTCCGCTTTGGGCTACTGTAGAAACATGGCTCCATTGATAAAGACATCTCAGTCTTACGTAACAAAAACACAACGATTCCTTTATTCAGGTGATTATACACTAATTAAAACATAGCTGAGAATATTATATTACAACACTGACAATAAATCCTCCTTATGTTTCACTACTGTCAACAGTTCCCACAAATGTTTCAAATTAAAAGCCAACAACAACCTGCTGGAAGGCTTTTATTGTGAAATATTTTCAGTAAATTTTGAGTGTCATTGACAGTAGTGTAATTGCAAATGGAAGAAATAATAAGTTCTCAGGTAAACAT